ATGCTGGGTGCCACAGTGAGTGGCAGCGCTGGGGGGCGGAGGAGCAGCGGTGCTGTGCCGTGGGCTTGTCTTGGGGTGGATGGGTCCCTGGGTGCGAGCTCCGGGTCTCGTCTGCTCTGTATCAGCACGCCCGCTGCTCCACCGTTGCTAACAAATCCTGGCTCCGCAGGCCAACAGGACGCAGGCGCTGAATTACGGCTGTATCGTGGCAAACGCAGACAGGCAGGAGGGGCTGGGGGGCCTTGGGGAGCTGGGCACGGTGTGGGCGCGTGTTCCCGGCGTGCCACAGAGGCTGTGACGCCAGGCACGGGGGCTACACCCCGGGACTCACGTGTCTTCCCTCACCTCTAGGTCCAGCACTACGTGGAGAAGCCCAGCACGTTTGTCAGTGAGATCATTAACTGTGGCATCTACCTGTTCACACCCGCCATCTTCCAGCACATTGGCGAGGTCTTCCAGAGGAACCAGCAGGAGCTAGTGCTGTGAGTGCCCCTTTCTGCCCCGTGTCCCTCCCACCCCACTGTTTCCCGGGGCTGCAGTGGCACGCTCATCTTCCATTCTTTCTCTGTCTTCTCTCCTCCTCTGCCATCGCTCATTTGTTTCCTGGTCCTGCACCAGCTGTCCTTACCTTGGGTAAGTCTCCCCCTGTGTCTGCACTGGCTGCTCTCCGGGCTGAATCGTCCCCAGCGATACCACCTGCTTTCCTCCCTGCTCCAGGCTGCGCTGCAAGGCTGCTCTTTCCTCTGCTCCGCTCCTGGCCAGCTTGAGACTCCCCCTCTGCCTTCCTCTCCTCCCACCCCATCTTCATTGAGCTCCGGACAAGGGGCTGAGCAAGCCTTTCACCTGGCAGTGCTCTGCTCCTGCCTCCTGCTCTCCGCACCAGCAGCCTGTCACCTGGCAGCTCCGCCACCGCCCAAGCGAAAATCCGGCTGGGCAGGGCTCTGGAGCGGGGGCAGGATCCGTCACTTGTACGCCCACCTGGACTGGGTTGGGCTCTTGCACCATCAACTTCTGTCTAAGAGCTTGTTTCAGCTGGCAGAGCCCCGTCCCTCTGCTGCTCTGGGGCTCGGCAGGCCGAGCCTGGTGGCTGGGGCTGTCCCCACCTTCGGGGAGCAGTGCATGGCTAGGAGGGAGCCCAGGAGCACCGGAGCCCCCGGATTTGGGGAGGGTAGCTGCTGGGGTCCCCGGCTGAGGCCGTGGCTGGCGTGGGTGTCTTAACGGGCCTCTCACTTGCAGGGAGGAGAGCTCCAACGGCTGGCAGCGTGCAGAAGTGATCCGGCTAGAGCAGGATGTTTTCACGGCGCTGGCTGGGAGCGGCAAACTCTACGTCTACAAAACTGATGGCTTCTGGAGCCAGATCAAATCGGCAGGGTGAGGGCTGGTGCTGGAGCTGGCGCCGCAGGGGCATCGAGCCCTCCGTACCGGAGAGGGGAGAGGAGGGTGCCCAGGCAGGGCCCTGGGGTTGGGCGGGGGCTGCGGAATTCAGACCCTCCTCTGCCCTGGTACTGCCAGAGAGGTGACAACGATCGTTTGCTTTTCGTCCCCCAGCTCTGCCATCTATGCCAGCCGCCTTTACCTGAACCAGTACAGCAAAAGCCACCCAGAGAGGCCGGGCCGGAAAAAACTCCGAGGGGCCGTGCTGCAGC